ATATATATTTATTGAATGATAGTGTTACCCTTGGTTTGTTAAGTTTCGTGTTTTGATGTTAAAAAATAGTATATAAGTTAAACATTTGTTTAAGTATTTTAATTAGGTACAACAAGAAACCATTAAGATTTGGTTCTCAAGAATGACGTCGAAACACTAAACTAGCATAGAGTATAGGTAGAAACAAATGTCAGGATATGATTTTATATACATATATTCACAAGCTCAAAGCACTCACAAAGTATGTTTAAAACTATCTCATAAACATTTTCAAATATCCAAAAGGTTTTAAACTCAAACGAAAAGGATTAAGTGAATTTTGGTAAAAACCAAGACAGGCACACAGTACCCTTCACGGTACGCCTTACTGTCACCACAGTAGGCCCTACCATCCCTACAATACCATGGTACCGTGAGGCCATAGAGACCGCCAGAGCGGTTGGTTTTTTAAGGTTTTCGGTACCCCTATCTGGAATTCAGTCACGAAAGAGTGTTGAATGCCTAGATCAATTCTTGAAATTCAATCACATAAGAGTTGGGGTTATATTAGTCAATTGGTGTTGTTGACGTAATTTAAAAAAGGTTTATGGTAATACTAGTCCTATATTGGAAAAGTTGCATTGTTTTAGTACCATTTTTGTATTTTCCCCTATTATCTTCTTTGTTGCCCACTTACTAAAATGTGCCTCTAGGGTTATTCTCTTTTCTTTCATTTGTATGCCTTTGACCTTTTTTTCCTATCAAATTTTATCAATACTTTTTCCATTCTCAAATATTTATCTATTTTTTATATTTTTAAGTTAAAATTGATAAAATTTGACTCTAAATTAAATAAAAATACTACTCGTATTATATATTGATACAAAAATAGTTTTATTAGATTTATTATATAAACTATTTTCAAAACATTATTTTATCTAATTATTAGCATACAATATATATTTTATTTAATTGTAGATTAGAGATTAAAGATGGTTAACTGAAAAAATAAAACCGGACAAACACTTTTTTCAATTTATTTTATTTAAATACTGGTATAGAAATACAAAATAAAGTTTACATATTTAAAAAATACATGAAAAAAATATTTTGAAATAAAGGTGTCATGGAATATTTTATTTTATCAAATAATCAATGAAAATGTACAAATAAATAAAAGTGTATGTAACTATTGAAAAAGCAAATATGGTAAATATTTTGGGACGGAAGGAGTATAATCTAGCCAACCATTTCTTTTTAATCATCATCATCATCATCCATTTCCACCAATTAATCATTGTTTGCAGCGAGTTTTTCTGTTTTCCACTTTACCAACCACAAGGATCAATGAAATCTATCCCATAATAACTGTCATTTTGTTGGAAAGTAAAAACAAAACATACAGATATATCCTACAAAGTACAAACCTAGGCTCCATGGTGGGTGACAACGAAAATAATTCCCACTCTCCCAAAATAAATTTCCCAATTTCACTTTCATACATTTAATTAAAAAAACATATTTTGTTCAATTAATGTGGACAGTGGAACTTCTCCCTTGGGTTGTTCAGTAGTAGGAAGCATATTTATGTGAAAAAATTCAACTAGATTTGAGCCCGATAGAGAAAAAAACATATACAGATAGTACATTGTAATCAAGTCAATACAGAGCACTCAACAAAAATGTGAACCACCCAATTAGTTCTATAAAAGGATTGAGATCGAACTTTTAACAAATGATAAAGAAGGGCTAGTTGTTACTATGAGCCTGTTGGAGAATAGTGTTAGTGATTATCGTTAGCGTTTTGGATAGAATTTTAACGGTGCAGATTACTTTGAAAACGCTAACGCTAAACGCTGCACGTAGATAGCCTTTTCAAAACGCTAACGCTAATAGCTAACGCTATTCCAAACAGACCCTATGTAAATAAATAGGTCAAAAAAAATATTTCAAGAAAAGAGAAAACTTTTTATTCATTTATAATTAACTTCCGAATGAGTCGGCCCGGCCATGAGGCTTGAATATATAACCCGAGCTCGAGTATCGGCCTGTATGCTTCCTGACCCTCAATATTACGGGCCGTTCCAGCTCGTTCACCCAACGCGGGTTTTGTGGGCCGGGCAAAACCCGGCATGTGGTCAAATCTAATTATAATTATCAGACACATTAGGGTTTTTTTTCACAAATCAAGTTCTCTATACTTTGATCCAAATATATATATGTTCTTGTCTAGAATTGAATATATTTATGTCGACACTTCAGTCCAATTTTTTAAGATAATGGTCCGAATGGGTTGGGCCCGTCTTGGACCAATGAAATTACTTATTTTTTACGGAATATAGAAACATTATTTTTAAAAATGTATTATTAAAATTTATTTCATTATAACAAATTTTTTTTGAGTCGGATGTTAATACGTACTAAAAATGAAAACAAAACAATGGAAAGTCCAAAAAAATAAATACTTGGTCCGTCCCTGAGTGTTTGTCCACTTTTGACTTTTGGAACTGTTCATCTAAGTACTTTGACTTATCAAATTCTCTCAATGTGTAAGCCTAAAAATAGTCATGTGTGATCTTGTTTGATTCGTCTTAACATATAGATTATTAATATATAATTTTTATAATTTTTTAATATACAAATTACAAGATAAAATGAATTAAAAAAGTGCATTGGATGGTGTGCAAAAATGAAAATGGACAAACACTCAGGGACAGGAGGGAGTAAGAAAATAGACGAAGGAAGTGTGCATGTTTACGTGATACTCCCATTATTCTACTTTTCAATTAAGTTTTTATTTGCTTCTAATTATACTTTATCTGTCCCAAAAGAGTTTTGAAAAGTCAAGTAAAAAATATTAAGCACACTCCCTTAAATTTGCCAAAAACCGTAACGAGAACTTTTTTTGAAATAGAGTGAGTATTTTTTTCTCTTTTTTTTAATTTCATTTTTCCATTCTCCTATTTATTCTATTTTATTTCATCTTTCAATTTTTTGTTATTTACCCGTCGTAACAAAATAATTTTATTTAAAAAAATAAAGAAATGAATAAATTTAATTTGAGACCTATAGGATGTATCTTAATTTTTTCATTTCATTTATTTTTGGAAACATAATAAAAAATTAATAAGAAATTATGAAAAGAAAACCCTAAATGATATGACTTAACAAAAAATGAGTAGTAGGCCAAAAAAATACGGAGTAGTAATTTTAGACTGCAATTTTACACTTCTACAAAATATCATTTTCATTGTATGGAGCATAAAAATCCAAATTAAACTAGATAGGGTTGGAATGGTGCGGCAACTAGGGAATTAAGCTAGAGAATTTTTTTTCAAGAAAATGAGAGTGATGTTTGGGTTAGGGTATGGATGTCACTGAATTGGACTCTGAAAAAAAATAGTCTCCGGGTGCGTCTCTAGGAGTATGAAATGAAATCGACATTTAAAATGTAGATTTTCTCATATTTTTTATAGATTTACATGTGGATTATGTTTTTTTTTGCAAAAGGCTCAATTCTTTTATGTTATAAATGTATCAATGTCCACAAAATAAACATGAACGACCTTAGATCCACGGAAGAATTTGCAAGCATTTAGAGCGATTTACGAGTGAGGTGATTTCTTGAAAAAACAAAAATACAATAAAATAGAATTTGAAATTAATTATTCCGAGTTTTGGTAAACAATATCTCTACAATACAATTTAGACTTCTCAAGTCATAATCCATAAAATCTAAAGTGCTTTGCAAACACTTATAATTGTGTTTTAATTAATTAAAAGCTCAAAAGCTATATTCAAACGCACTCCAAAACACCTCTTAAAAACCCCGAGTATTTTAAAAATAAGTTTTGAAAGTAAGGCTCCGTTCCGTTCAACTTATTTTTTCTGATCTGATCTGATTCTAATAAGTTCTGATCTGATCTGNAAAATTTCAAATCAATAATTTAATTTGACTTTATAATAACGTTTGAAAATTGTAATGATAATTCATATTATAATATAATCAATATTTTTTATTTAATGATTCCTTTTTAATAAAATAAAAATAGTTAATTCATATATTAGAATAATCATTCATATTATAATGTAATAATATTTTTTATTTTATGATAATTTTTTTGTAAAATTAGAATTATACATTGGAATAAATATTTAATTTAGATATACATTTAAAAGTAATTAAATTTAGATAATCAATATATAGAAGAGATAGTATTTTTATTAAAATATCTCATCCTTATAAAAGATCAAAAGTTTAGAAACTCAAATTACAAGTAGCAATAAAAATATATTTCAAAAGTAGAATTAGATTGACATTGTCAATGTATTTTAAAACTAATTTTTCCGACGTCTAATAATTAAGGATTACTTTCTCAGCTTTTTATTTAACCTATTTCTAAAGTTTATTCTTTTTCATTTTTAAGAACAATAATAATAATAATAATAATAATGATGATGATGATGATGACGATGATGATGATGATTATCATAATAATAATAATAATAATAATAATAATAATAATAATAAAAATAATAAAAATAATATAATAATAATAATAATAATATAATAATAATAATAATAATAATTCTTGATGAGATCTTATTTTAATAAGTCCTGATCTGATTGGATCTGATCTGATCTGATCTGATTCGATCTGATCTGATCTGATTCGATCTGATCTGATCTGATCTGGTCTGATCTGATCTGATCTGATCTGATTTTAATAAAATAAGAAAAAATAAGAAAAAATAAGTTGAACGGAACGGGGCCTAAGGGATGTATTGAAGCCCATTTTTCAAAGGAAGAACTATGAATAAAAGTTAAAACACAATTAAAATGCCAAAATAGATGTCATTAGTCTTTTAAGACCAAATAAAAATCTTAATACTGCTATTGTTACACAGCCACACTCGCCACATTGTCACATTCCAACAGCCACACTATCACTGCCAAACCATCATTTGTCACCTTCGGCTACTAGAGTGTCGTTGCGGATCGCCCACGGTTGACTGATCACAGTGTCATTACTTCTTCATTATACTGTCAACATGTACTCTGACATTACACCGTCATTATTTTCATGTTTTGGTCTTAAAAAACTTAGGATCTCTATCTCGGTATTTCATACTCCCTCCGTTCTATAAAAGTGTTCCTATTTTGACTTTGTGTAAAAATAAGAAAATGTTAAATTGTAATTGACTTCTAATTTTGCCCTTGATGTGATGGGTAAAAGTAAGATGTGATTATTGAGTATTAGAGAAAAAGTATGATGTGATAGGTAGGGTATGAAAGAGTAAGGGTAAAAGTGGTTTTTTAATAGAAAGTGGAAGTGTTTTGTTGGAAGTAAAAAAATGAAAGAGAAAGAGTTTTTGAGAACAAAGGGAGTAGTTTTTAGTCTAATTAGGGAGATTTTATAACTTTTTTTCAGACCATAGGAGACACGGATGTTATTAGGCCGAAGTTTATTTTTTCCTTCATAGATAGTCTCTATTGTAGAGAACTGCCCTACCAACATACAGTCATAGTTAGCATAACACATACTCTCTCCGTTTGGAAAAAATGTTTCTCTTTTGACTTTGTGTAAAAATAAGGAAATATTAAATTATAGTTGACTTTCAATTTTGCCCTAGATGTGATAGGTAAAAGTAAGATATGATGGATAGATTATTAGAGATAAAGTATGATGTGATAGGTAGGGTATGAAAAGGTAAGGGTAAAAGTGGTTTTTTAATAAAAAATTGAAGTGTTTTGTTGGAAGTGAAAAAAATAAAAGAGGAAGTGTTTTTGAAAACGGATGGAGTGATTTTTTCACTCATTCTTTATACAAATAACTTTTACTTTCTACACTATCATATTCACCATTCTCACATGCACCCTCATTAATACCACATCACCATTACTACATGCGTCCCAAAGTGTTTGTATGTTTTTTACTTTTTGCAGTAAAGATTGACAAATTATGATAGTATCAACATAAATTAAATAAAATTGATATTAAATGTAGATACAAAATTTTTTTTACTAGATTTATCTTCCATAATATTTTCAAAATATTTTTTTAACTATCTAACACGATATATTATTTTTAATTTTATTTTAGGTCAAATGTTGATTATTGTTGACTCCAAAAACTAAAAATTGGAAAAATACTCTGGACGGAGAGTATTTTTTATTTTTATAAGAAAATTAATTTATTTATAAAAAAATTAAAAAATAATAAAAATTATAAATAAATAAATTCATAATTAAATAAAAAATAAAATGGATGAAAATTAATAAAAATAAAAACCAAACTTAAAAAATTGAATCCGACGTAAGGTTTGGTAGGTTTAAAAAATGAAAATAAAAAAAATAGGTTTATTAAAAAAAAATTATACTCGGTAATTTTATAGTGACAATCGATGGGTAAAAAAGACAAATCCACCTACAGATTAGTGGCTTACGTAAATATTTAATTCTTTTTTATTTAATAAATTATTCATCTATCTATTCCAAAATGATATTTTCTGAACGATGTGCAAAATTCTATAATTTCAAAATGATTTGGTTTAAAACTTGGCATAAAATAAAAACAAAATTTATATAATTAAAAGTGATACGGTATCGTATCGGGATAGGGAAGGATTTCGAACACCTTCGAGCTCCAAGAACAAAAGAGGCGAGAAAGAGAGAGATTAAGGTTTAGGAGAAAGTATTTTCTTTATTCATTGATTGATAAAACTATGGTGATAGATACATTTATAGGCTCCAACTCTAGAGAATCTCAATAATAAATGGTAACTAAATAATTAATAATCTTAATTATAAAATGTAACTAAATAAACTAGGAAACTAATTAATCACCTAACAAATATAATATTTCCTAATAATAGTTAACTAACTATAAATAATTCCTTACCATAATAATAATAATAATAATAATAATAATAATCCCGTAACAAAAAGCTACTCCGGGTATATAAAAATTTCTACAAAACAATAGATGGAAAAAATATTTTATTTTATCAAATGATCAATAAAAATATATAAACAAACAAAAGAAGACCTAAATCATTTTGACATCAAGGGTGTATTTTATTGCCACTAAAACTACTAAAATAGAAGTGTGCACTGTAATATTGTATACAGACTTTTCACAATACTTTTTAGTAATGTATATGATTATGATTGACATTATATATACATTTTAACTCTTATTTTGGAAATAAAAAAATAGAACTTCTATTTTAGTATATTTTCAATATTTTACTCCTACTTTAATCTTTTTCTCATAAAAAAATCCAGCAAACCCCCATTCTCTTCTTTTTACAAAGTTAGAGGATAAAATAATAATAATAGTAATAATATTTTTTTGAAAAGTGTAATAATAATAACAACATAAATTTTAAACGAGTGAAAATGCAACAGAAATTATTTTTAATTACCAACAAATATAAGATTCAGTAATACACACATCTTCAAAGCTTTTCCTCATAGATTCCCATTGCTGTAGCCTTCCCAATAATTCCTCGAGTAAGATAGGTCTGCAAATTGCTGCTGCAATATTTAAAGAAAAAAAAACATTAAATTGATAAGAATAATTGCAATTGCAGATCCTTTGATCTGCTGAATCTAATTAATTAAAATTTTAAAAGAGACATTTTTCCAAATATATATTAAGAATATAATAACATGGCATTTAATTTCCTAACCTGGTGATGCCTTGTAGGTGGGTTTTGGTGGTACTGGAAGATGCTAGAGAGGCTCCAGTTGTTGTGTTCCTCCGGCGGCAGGGAGTGGTCGGAAGCCGCCTCGGTCGCCTCCGGGAAACACGGTTGCATTGCCACCGTTTCGCTTGTTAACAAGTTCTTCATCTTCGTACGCTCCCTCGCCCGCTCCCTCGCCTTGTTTCTTGATTCTTTATTTGAGAGGGGACTGAAGGCAGCCGAAACCCTAGTTCGGCCTCCTTTCCCCTTCTTGTCCCCTGTTCTTTTCCCATCATTGATGGGAACAGACAGCGGTTGGCCGCCCTCCATCCCAACGAAGGGATCAAAGAATTCCTGATCGACCACGCCCGAATTCCCCTCGCACTCGGAAGTGGTGTTGGAGGATGCATTGGCGTTGTTGTTCGCGAGCTCGTCGATAGCGAACCTCGACTTGTTGAGGAGCCAATCGACGGTCTTGCTCGCCTTGTCGAACCCTAACGTGTCCTGCAGGTCGAAGAATTTGCGGGCCACGTCGAGGGAGAGCCTCATCCTCCGGTCCCGAGGTCCTTGCGCCGTGTGGATCTTACTATGCCGGTCTTTCTTGCCGCAACACTTCTTGTTCTTTTTCTTCATCCCCTCGTCGATCCCAAAATCGTCATCGTTGTTGTCGTTGTCGTTGTTGTTGTTGTTGTTGTTTGCCACCTCCGCTTCCGCTACAACGGCGCCGAGGAGGTTCTCCTCCTCGCCGAAAGCGTGTTGTTGTTGGTGGTGGTGGTGGTGTTGTTGTTGTTGTTGTTGGAGGAGGCCATAAATGGAGATTTGTTGGAGGAGCAAATCTTCATCCTCTTCACATAAATAATGCATGGAAGAAGGAAGGGAGGTAGCATTGTATATAAAGGGATACATTTGTTATACCTTTGGGAGGAAATATACTTTATTGAGCAATGTTTTCTTTTTCTTTTTTGCAATGCTTTGTTACTATACCTAGCTGCTGCTGCTACCTGCAAGTCTGCAACACACAAGTGTATACTTAGTACTACTAGCTAGGAACTGAAAAAGACTTGTTGAGATGAAAGAGACTTTTTTCCAATTCTTTGAATTGTTTCTTTCACTTAATCTTTCTTTTTCCTCTCTTGTGTTGTGTTACTCATAACAATAGTGTTGTCTATATATGAGAGAGAGGGAGGGAGAGAGAGAGAGAAAGAGAGAGAAATTTCAATTAGTAGAGGGACAAAGATAGACAGGTATCTTTTCCTCTTTTGAGACAACTTAGATTTGGAAAATTTACTTAAATAACACTAAAATATAATGACTTTCTTTAAATATCATCACATATGTTTTTCTTCCCAATGTAACACTTTTAGTCATTATGCATTAGTCATTATTCAAGTATAGATTCGTCATCACTGGACATTATTAAGTGCTATTTAGGCAATAAAACAGTTTAAATGCTATTTAGAAAAATGACTTAAGTTTTAGTGCTATTTAGTGCAAATATTTCATTAGATTTCACATTTCCCTATTATTTGTTTGAAAATAAAGAAAATATAATTAAACAATTCTGAAGTAGGAAATTTATATCAAAATAAGACTTTTTATATTTTATTCAACAAATATTAGGAGTATTAAATTATCATTGTAAAACATGTGTAATTTGGTATTTTGTATTGATATTTCACATTTACTTGACATTATATAGCATATTTTAGTATAAAAATTAGGATTGAAAGTCTTATTTTAATATATGAAGTACTCGGTATATCTTACTCCTAAATAAGTATTTTAAAAAAAGGTTATACATGCATCTCGTTCAATATCATTTACACCATAATTTATAAATGTTTTTTCATTTCGCTGAATCACATAATTTCATATTTTTTTTAATAATTGTGTTTGGACAAATATGAAAATTTGATGGAGAGAGTAAGATGTAATAATATAATACTCCCTCTGTCCACCATAGATCTTCCCAGACACTATTCACAGAGTCAAACTTAATTCACTTTGTTTATTTATTTTTACTACTCATTTCATAAAATAATATAGTGTTGTCACCTCTAATTTTGTAGAACTTTTCATGTAGTTTATTACTACATAAATTTTATATTAAAATTTTATCCCTATATTCAAATAAATTGAATTGAAAATAAAGTCGGTCAAGACTCGTAACGCGCAATGGGAAGATCTGAGGTGGAGGAAGGGAGTAATGGGTACATGTGCATCACATCTTTCTTCTATCTCTATAGAGTTGATGACGCCTTAGCTTAGACAAGTAGCTTTAAAGGAAAAGGTGCTTGAAAATGTGGGGTTGCAATTTTGTGTTGGGTGGGAGCCAATTTGTACACTAGTGAAAGGGAAAGGGAAGCATGTGATGTTGTAAATTCTTTTATTTATCATTATTTGAGTGAGTGTACACGTACAATAATGCCTGCAACACATAAAATCTCTCCCCCTAGGGCTTAGCTTATTAGGGCTTCTATATTATATCCAGTCAAACACAATTGTTGATGAAGGATGTAGTAAATAATTTTGGGTGTGGTAACAAATGTGTCATGGTCTCTCAATTGTAAATCCAATTTTGGGCTTATTATAAATTTCCTTATATTTTTTTTGTAAAAATACTTTTCAAGTTTCTGAATTATTTTAAATATTTATTAGGTTCATATATATTTTCAAAAGTGCTTCATAGATTCATGTGTTATTTTTAATACTTAATATGTCAATATACTTTCTAAGTGGTTCGTTAGTAATCCCTTCAGTGACTTTTTTGAGATCAAGTCTTTGAAAATTGTTCAACCAACACACATTACTTGTTCGTAACGTCATCTTTACAACAATTTCTAGAAACTTGGTTTGAAAAGTTAAAAAATAGCACTAAAAATAACTCAGAGACATATGAAGCACTTTCAAAAATATATAAGGACCTATTAAGAAATTTTCAATCATACATATTTTAGGAGAATGTATGAAACTTATTTTAAGGTGAGAATTGGGAGTCTTTGTAGTTAAAAGTTAGGGTTACTATTACACTAGATGTGGAGCAGCACATAAAAATCCACCCACATATTTGTGCCCACCATGTCTAACCATAATAACCTATCAAGATTTCCCAACTCATCATGTACTACGAGTAGTACTTGTAGCATATAGCACCTGATGAGTGATGATGAGAGGAACTTGCATCGAAGCTATCTTCTACTAAATCGATCTCAAAAATTTTCAAAAAAATTAAAATTATTGAGTAGAAAAATACTGAACTCATAAAGTACCGAAAAAAGATGTACCGTACCGCACCGAATGATCGGTCCGGTATTTGGGATCGATTCGAGGTATTTTCTCATGCCGAAAAATCTCGAAGCGAACATATATACGAATATGTTATAACAATAATAATGTTTTCATATTTCTTCATAAAATAATAAATTGATTTTGAAAATTAAAGTTGGTTCAAGTGTAGATGAGTTACAAATAATATTTTATTTAAATAATAAATTTATTTGAATTTAATTTTTTGTAGATGAATATAAAAAAAATTAACAAACATTCGAAATACCATTTTGTTATTATTCTCTTGTTTGTTTGTGAATTACGAAGTATAAGTTAAACTAAAATTTATAAGCATTGCTTGCATTTAATTATTCATTTTTTAATTTTTTTATCCTTCTTTCTTTAAATGCACATTCCATTTTTTTAAATAAAGAGTTTTATACATTTCAAATTGTAAACTAGGTACGGATACATATATTTATCCCAATATTTACCGAAATTGAATCATCCCGGACTATACCGAAGTGATACTTCAGGATCAGGATTGAAACGATGTAAAATTTCCTACCAAACCAAAATATTTGGTACGGTAGCGGTACGAACCAAATACCGTATCACGCTCACCCCTAAATAAAACTATTACTCCTCTTCTCCCCAAATTGGAGTTAGGACAATTAGAATTATGTGACAAAATGAAATATTTGTTTAATTCATTTTATTTAAAAATTTGTATAAAAAATAAAAAATAAAATTTATATTTTTAAAAATTATATAAAAAAGGTTTAAAAAATAAATGGTGATACTGCTATTTTATTTCATCAAATGATTGATGAAAACACATAAGTAAACTAAAGTTTACGTATAAAAATAACAATTTTCTTTTCTTCATTTTCTCAAAATGAAATTTACTCTTTCAAAAAAATTACACATTATACATTCCTTTTTAAGAAATGAATATATGATTCATATACATATAACTTCTCGTTACATATCTCTCATTTTTTTAAAACATTTTTCATGATTAAGACGAAGAGAGTATGACGTAAAACAGCCCTACAAACAAAAGAAAAAAGTGAATTACTAAGGTGATCCTTTCTAATAATGGGTCGTTTCATATGCCATTGAGTACCCGGGGCACCTATAGTACTTCGTTCAAAAAAATGATGGTTCCTACCCACGTAACTCTTCTGCACCCTCCCCATCCCTCCCTCCATACCTTCCCCTAACCCCCTCCCCTTCCTCGATTTGCTATAGTGATCACTATACCCAATTGACGAATGAAGTGAGGAGAGCTAAGGGTCTGGGAGGTGCAAGAGCATAGGAACCATCAATTTTTCATACAAAGCATTGTAAGTACCGCGGTCATGTTAGGACATTGAGGGCCACATGAATTGGCGCATTGTAATAAAGTATTTTTCCAAAGTTGTCATCAGTAATCACTAGGTACCTCAAAGGCACACAAAGATGAATTCTTTTTTGGACCATGCTACACTTACACCAAAACATATATCCCATTTGTACACCACAGGTTTGCACAAACATTTCGATGGTTTACACCGACACAAGTGTTTGTGCGTTAATAAAAATTCACACAAACACGAATGTTGGTGCGTTTAACAAAAATTAGTTTTACACCAACACAAAGTATTGGTGCAAAACTGCGGGGTACAAATTGGGGTACAAACCTTGGGGTACACATAGCATAATCCTTCTTTTTTATCTAAAAATTACTTTTCTAATATACTCCATCCGTCCCAAAAAGATTTACACGTTTCAAAAAAATTGTGTCCCACAATCCCTTACCCATTTCTATTAAAAAACCAATTTTACCCCTTACTTTTTCAAACCCTACCTATCACATCATACTTTTTTCCTAATAATCTACACATCACATCCTACTTTTACCCATCACATCAAGGGTATTTTTGGAAAGTCAACACAAAATTATCTCTCCCTTAATTTCAACTTTAGTCAAAATGGGTAACACTTTATGGGACGGAGGGAGTATTTATTTGGGTGATTATTTAATTGGGTTATTTTTTAACATTTTATTTTTTCAACATTTTCTAACTCCTAGTTTTTCCAACTCCTTCCAATTTCTTGTAATTCATTCTAGTTTCTTCCAACTTTCAGTTTCTTCCAACATTCAACTCTGTTTTTGCAACCCAAACGAATAGAGATGTTACGAGTTCTCCACCGGGGGAGGACAGACCAGTAGAAGATGAATGTGGGGAATCAACTCAGGACAGTAACGACGGGCAGCCGGGGGACGCGGGGAACCCGGTGCGTAGAGGCACAAGAAAAAGACGACCACCGACATGGCATGGAGACTACGACACGTAGTTATTTTTAGTAGCACTATTATTATTTTTATTATTATTGTTATATTTATTAATTGTAATAGATTTTCTTAGGAGATCGGCCTATAAGCTCCTTCAAGGGTTTTCTTTTCAGCTCTTTCCCTTGACGCCTTTGTTGAACCGACAGGTTAAATTAGGGTTAGGGTTTTCACCTATAAGTTGAGATGCACCCAACGAGATTAGCATATTGGAGAATAATCAAAAAAACCCTAATTAGTTTACTCTCTCTCTCTCTCCTCTCATGCGGCGCACCTGGTGCGTCTTTCTTCTTCACCCTCGCCTCAACTTCCTAGAGCTCGGAGACGCTCAAAGTCTCTCCCAACCGATACGAGTCCATATCATTGGTGCCATGAGCTCAAGGAAGCCATGAGCTCGGCTCTAGTACTACGGTTTCCTAACTTCTCCTTTACTTTTGTTATTTAGATAGACACGTGTGCAACGGGTATCGGTGCAGTTCTCCTACAACACGAGCAACCTATTGCCTATTTTAGCAAGAAATTGGGGCCAAGGAAACAGGCGGCATCAACATACCAAAAGGAAATCTTAGTCATTGTAGAGTCCGTACACAAGTGGCGGCAATATTTGTTGGGCCGCGAATTCTTGATACGGACGGACCAACGTAGCCTGCGTGAGCTGCTGCATCAAGTGGTCCAGACGCCAGATCAGCAATACTATATCCGTAAGTTGATGTGTTTTTAGTTCCGAATTGAGTATAAAACGAGAGCATCAAACCGAGTTGCGGATGCTCTCTCCCGGTGGGCGGAGTCGGAGGACCCAACGGCTACCCTTTGTAATCTTTCACACCCCTTACCCACTCTTATGGAAGACATCCACCATGAGAACCAATCCCAACACGATCTACGCCTCTTACATAAGGCCGCCACCAAGGGTCGTTTGCCGTCGGACTACTCAATTACTAATGGTATCCTATACTTCCACCGTCGGATCTGCATTGGTAAGGACTCTTCCATATGCACCCAACTCTTGCGGAAGACCATGATTCCCCATTGGCGGGCTACCCAGGTGTGCAATGCATGTTTTACCGCCTCGCACAGAGTTTCTTTTGGGCGGGCATGCGCCGGGACGTCCAACGCTATATTGAAGCCTGTCTTCCATGCCAAGCTACCAAGTACTCTACTCAGCCCCCTACGGGCTTATTGCAGCCCTTGAAGATACCACTTCAGGTGTGGGACGACGTATCAATGGATTTTATTATGGGCCTTCCATCCGTGCAAGGGTATTCCATGATTTTGGTGGTCGTTGACAAGCTATCTAAATACATTCATTTGGGTCCCTTGCCTGCCACTTACGACACACCGACGGTGGCGCAGCTCTTCGTGAACATGGTGGTCAAGCTTCATAGTTTTCCTAAATCAATTGTGTCGGATCATGATCAGATTTTTATGAGTAATTTTTGTTGGAACACACTTTGCACGTTAAACTAAAGTCGTGTTTATTTCTGACAGGTTTTGATAATTGCCAAACCGCCGTGGATATGAAGAGTTTCGTTAAATAACTCAAGGCGTGAAGAATGGCTTGGAACAAGACCTAAAAGACTCAAGGACAAGATCAAGAATTGAAGACTTAGTCGAGTCGGTCTTTTGTGATCAAAATCGACGATTTATTCAAGTCTCGGTTCTCAAAAAGTCAAAATTATTTTACAAAATCATAAAATGTTTTTATGCATCAAAATAAACATTTTAGATAAATCTCTTTATCGTTAAATCCCTGGTCCTTGCTCAGAACCAAAACCACCTAAGTCGGCGTTCGGCTTTCGGCATTCAGCTTTCGGCGTTCGATTTTTGGCGCCCGAACGAACTCCGTGGTTTTCAATATTTTAAACCTTGTTTTTATCTCTGAGCATATTTTAAAGGTTCCCGAATAATTATTTTGTAAAAACCACTTTTGTATCCTGGTCAATCGGTCTAACACGAGAAAAACGGTCAAAACCGTACGCACGTGATTTACGACCTTGAGGACTTGGTTTTTACCAAACAAGTCTTGTTTTCACTTTTTTATACC